AGGTACTGTTAATTAATGTGGTCTTGTGCATCCGTGTGTATAAGAAGAATTCAAATAAGAAATTAAATGACTCACAGCCATAAATCAGGTCAATTATCCCTGATTTTTCAGTCGAACAGCCAGTAATGTTGTTCATTCCAGTGCATTTATAAGCCCCTGCTTGATTTTCTTGGATATCAGGATTACGGAGAAGGGAAGTTAAGGTATCCTCTCCATCCAGCTGCTCTGAGATGTAAAAACCTTCAGATCCGTTGATGATTTGTTTGTTTTTTGGATTGGACCAAACTACACGAGGACGAGGCCATCCCTTGAAGGTACACTTCAGTTCCATTTGTTTTTTGTCAGAATAGAAGTCAACGGGAGAACTTGTCTTAGATACTCTCTTAACTGGAACTGAGAAGGAATTCTTCGTCTTAGGGCCTGTTTACATGGTGTGGGGGACCCCGGTCTAGTGGGGTAAGTTTCTTTTGTTTTCACGCTCTGGGGGACACAAAACAAAAGAAACTTACCCCACTAGACCGGGGTCCCCCACTCCATGTAAACAGGGTCTTAATTTCAAAGCTCATAAGTCATGCACTCAGTCATTTAAACATTGTAGGGAGCTTAAGTGACCAACTCGAAAGCCTAAGCTTCTTTGGCCACTGCGCACATTTCACTTTTGATCAGGATTTATGTAATTTGCAGGTTTTCTTCCTCTTGTTTTTTTAATATATTTGTAACTTTTCTAGCAACCTCTTGAATTAGTGGGAAAAAATATCAAAATCTGAAATGTAAATATCTGAACCACCACCACGACAACGTCAAAAAACAATTGGTTTTAACATGAAAACAACAGTTGCTGCACGTGCGTCAAGCTTCTTAGTACATTTCTTTGACGTTGACTGCACAGCTATGAAGTGAAACCGCCTAATCAAAGCATACGACGTTTTATAGAGAAAGTGAAAATACGACGACAAATTCTCCTTTTTCTTTCTGCCAACTCGGTGTTACACGCATCGTTGGCTCCCTACCATCTCAAATCCAACGCACACTGCTGGAATAATTGTTAATTATACCGAGGAGTTCGTTATATAGAGATTCTACTGTATTTCAGGTGAGAACACTCCCCTCTCATTAATGACTGTCCTGTGCTTGATTCCTCAGGCAACTTCATATGTGGTCGGCCTAGTTGAGTTTTGTTGCTTGTTACCCTTATTCCGCCATCGCCGTCAAAAAAATACATCACTCCCACGTTAATCCCGCCATCTGGGCGGGGTAAATTTGAGCCAGAATGGCAGACAAAGAACCACTATATGGATGAGCTAGCGCCACTAAATCGTTATTTATTTATTTATTTACTTATTTACTTATCCCTTGTGACCCGAGGGATAAACAAGTAAAAATTCCAGCGTCCAATTGGTCTGAATGGAAAGAGGAAGGTGGCACGAAATTTTCAGTTATATTCAGTTGATTTCTTTTAAATTCAGCTGGGAATAACTTTATCTGTTATTTAAAACATGAAGCACCCAATATTTAATTCCGTCTAAATCAAGAGAGAATGAGCTGTCCCTCTTCGTCTAAATGGGATACTTTCCATTGCTTACAGGGCAAACACGGCAATACATTTTTATGCTGAACCTGATACAAAGGAGGTACTGTTAATTAATGTGGTTTTGTGCATTCGTGTGTATAAGAAGAATTCAAATAAGAAATTAAATGACTCACAGCCATAAATCAGGTCAATATACTCTGATTTTTCAGTCGACCAACCGGTAAGGCTGTTCATTCCAGTGCATTTATAAGCCCCTGCTTGATTTTCTTGGATATCAGGATTACGGAGAAGGGAAGTTAAGGTATCCTCTCCATCCAGCTGCTCTGAGATGTAAAAACCTTCAGATCCGTTGATGATTTGTTTGTTTTTTGGATTGGACCAAACTACACGAGGACGAGGCCATCCCTTGAAGGTACACTTCAGTTCCATTTGTTTTTTGTCAGAATAGAAGTCAGCGGGAGAACTTGTCTTAGATACTCTCTTAACTGGAACTGAGAAGGAATTCTTCGTTTTAATTTCAAAGCTCATAAGTCATGCACCCAGTCATTTAAACATGGTAGGGAGCTTAAGTGACCAACTCGAAAGCCTAAGCTTCTTTGGCCACTGCGCACATTTCACCTTTGATCAGGATTTATGTAATTTGCTGGTTTTTTTCTTCTTGTTTTTGTAATATATTTGTAATTTTTATAGCAACCTCTTGAATTAGTGCGAAAAAATATCAAAATCTGAGATGTAAAAATCTGAACCACCACTACGAGAACGTCAAAACACAATTTGTTTTAAGGTGGCTCGATACAGTTTTTCAGGGCCAATACCTCCCAAGTTTGAGCATAAACTACGTCGCCATAAAGAAAGTTTTGGAAAAATTGCCACCATAGTTGTATTAAATGAAGATGAAAATTTGTTATGATCAGGGTTGCAACGGCCTCAGAGTTGTCATAGGAACGAAATGACGCTATTACCTATTTTACTTGCAGCAGTATATCTCGGCACTGGGAACTGTTCTTCGAAAATTATTCACGGGAGCATTTTCCTCCGATAGCAGCCTCGATGTTCGTGAAGTTTAAGAGAAATCTGTAAGAGCGTTATCGAGATATTTTGGGATAAAGATTTTGTCGTTAGATATACTGTAAAAAATGGACAATCTTGGTTTTCGGCTGTTATCTGTAGAAAGCGAAGCGCTTTTGACATGCAATTTCACCTCATAGTAGTTTCAATCTTTTTAAAAACGTGTGTGAAAGATCAGTGAGATAGCTCCAGCCGTTTGCTAGAAAGAAGGATTTGATTACTATGTATCGAGTCGCTCTTGTTAGCGGTTTTTTCAACATTTTGGTCTACTTTAACAAATTAGCGAATAATTTCTAAACAGCTCGATAGATTTTTTTAAAAATTTAAGATTCTTGAGATTAACCTTCCTTTTATATTAACTTTTAGTTTCAAGATTATTGATATATTGTAAGGCAGTAAAATAAGGGCTACAATTCGCTAATATTTTGGCGGAAATTTTGTGTTTACAAGTGTGAGCCTCTCATTATTCAGGGTATTGTGTCCAAGTTTCATATTTTCGTGCACAACAAAAGCTAGCATTTTTGCATATTTCAAATGCATTGTTAGTTACTGCTGTTCACGTGAAAATGAAACTCGGAGACAATGCCTTGAATAATTAGAGGCTTTCACTTGTAATGACGAAACTTCCGATAAAAAAGTAACGAATTGTAGCCCTTATTTTACTGCCTTACAACATATCAATAATCTTGAAACTAGAAGGTCATATAAAAGGAAGGTTAATCTCAAGAATCTTAAATTTTTAAAAAAAATCTATCGAGCGGTTTAAAAATTATTCGCTAATTTGTTAAAGAAGACCAAAATGTTTACAAAACCGCTAACAAGAGCGCTTCAATACATACTAATCAAACCCTTCTTTCTAGCAATCGGCTTGACCTATCTCCCATGATCTTTCATGCACGCTTTTAAATAGATTGAAATACTATGAGGTGAAATTGCGTGTCAAAAGCGCCTCATTTTCTAGAGATAACGGCCAAACAACAATATTGTCCATTTTTTACTGTGTATTTAACAATAAAAACATTATCGCAAAATATCTTGATAACGCTGTTACAGATTTCGCTTAAACTTCACGAACATCGAGGCTGCTATTGGAGGAAAAAGCTCCCGTAAATGATTTTCGAAGAACAGTTCCCAGTGCCGAGATATACTGCTGCAAGTAAAATAGGCAATAGCGTCATTTCGTTGCTATGACAACTCCGATGCCGTTGCAACACTGATCATAACAAATTTTCATCTTTATCTAATACAACTGTGGTGGCAATATTTCCAAAACTTTGTTTTTGGCGACGTACCTCTCAAGCTTGAGAGGTATTGACCCTGAAAAACTGTATCGAGCCACCTTAACATGAAAACAGCAATTGCTGCACGTGCGTCAAACTTCTTGGTACATTTCTTTGACGTTGACTGCACGACTATGAAGTGAAACCTCCTAATCAAGGAATACGACGTTTTATGGAGAAAGTGAACATACGACGACAAATTCTCCTTTTTCTTTCTGCCAACTCGGGGCTACGCGCCTCGTTGGCTCCCTACCATCTCAAATCCAACGCACACTGGTGGAATAATTGTTAATTATACCGAGGAGTTCGTTATATAGAGGTTCTACTGTATTTCAGGTGAGAACACTCCTCTCTCATTAATGACTGTCCTGTGCTTGATTCCTCAGGCAACTTCATATGTGGTCGGCCTAGTTGACTTTTGTTGCTTGTTACCCTTATTCCGCCATCGCTGCCAAAAACATACGTCACTCCCACGTTAATCCCGCCATCTGGGCGGGGTACATTTGAGCCAGAATGGCAGACAAAGAACCACTATGTGGATGAGCTAGCGCCACTAAATCGTTATTTATTTATTTAATTATTTACTTATTTACTTATCCCTTGTGACCCGAGGGATAAACAAATAAAAATTCCAGCGTCCAATTGGTCTGAATGGAAAGAGGAAGGTGGCACGAAATTTTCAGTTATACTGATTTCTTTTAAATTCAGCTGGGAATAACTTTATCTGTTATTTAAAACATGAAGCACCCAATATTTAATTCCGTCTAAATCAAGAGAGAATGAGCTGTCCCTCTTCGTCTAAATGGGATACTTTCCATTGCTTACAGGGCAAACACGGCAATACATTTTTATGCTGAACCTGATACAAAGGAGGTACTGTTAATTAATGTGGTCTTGTGCATCCGTGTGTATAAGAAGAATTCAAATAAGAAATTAAATGACTCACAGCCATAAATCAGGTCAATTATCCCTGATTTTTCAGTCGAACAGCCGGTAATGTTGTTCATTCCAGTGCATTTATAAGCCCCTGCTTGATTTTCTTGGATATCAGGATTACGGAGAAGGGAAGTTAAGGTATCCTCTCCATCCAGCTGCTCTGAGATGTAAAAACCTTCAGATCCGTTGATGATTTGTTTGTTTTTTGGATTGGACCAAACTACACGAGGACGAGGCCATCCCTTGAAGGTACACTTCAGTTCCATTTGTTTTTTGTCAGAATAGAAGTCAACGGGAGAACTTGTCTTAGATACTCTCTTAACTGGAACTGAGAAGGAATTCTTCGTCTTAATTTCAAAGCTCATAAGTCATACACCCAGTCATTTAAACATGGTAGGGAGCTTAAGTGACCAACTCGAAAACCTAAGCTCTTTTGGCCACTGCACACATTTCACTTTTGACCAGGATTTATGTAATTTGCTGGTTTTCTTCCTCTTGTTTTTGTGATATATTTGTAATTTTTATAGCAACCTCTTGAATTAGTGGGAAAAAATACCAAAATCTGAAAAGTGAAAATCTGAACCACCACGACGTCAAAACACAATTGGTTTTAACATGAAAAAAACAGTTGCTGCACGTGCGTCAAGCTTCTTAGTACATTTCTTTGACGTTGACTGCACGACTATGAAGTGAAACCTCCTAATCAAGGAATACGACGTTTTATAGAGAAAGTGAACATACGACGACCAATTCTCCTTTTTCTTTCTGCCAACTCGGTGTTACGCGCCTCGTTGGCTCCCTACCATCTCAAATCCAACGCACACTGGTGGAATAATTGTTAATTATACCGAGGAGTTCGTTATATAGAGGTTCTACTGTATTTCAGGTGAGAACACTCCTCTCTCATTAATGACTGTCCTGTGCTTGATTCCTCAGGCAACTTCATATGTGGTCGGCCTAGATGAGTTTTGTTGCTTGTTACCCTTATTCCGCCATCGCTGCCAAAAACATACGTCACTCCCACGTTAATCCCACCATCTGGGCGGGGTAAATTTGAGCCAGAATGGCAGACAAAGAACCACTATGTGGATGAGCTAGCGCCACTAAATCGTTATTTATTTATTTAATTATTTACTTATTTACTTATCCCTTGTGACCCGAGGGATAAACAAATAAAAATTCCAGCGTCCAATTGGTCTGAATGGAAAGAGGAAGGTGGCACGAAATTTTGAGTTATATTGATTTCTTTTAAATTCAGCTGGGAATAACTTTATCTGTTATTTAAAACATGAAGCACCCAATATTTAATTCCGTCTAAATCAAGAGAGAATGAGCTGTCCCTCTTCGTCTAAATGGGATACTTTCCATTGCTTACAGGGCAAACACGGCAATACATTTTTATGCTGAACCTGATACAAAGGAGGTACTGTTAATTAATGTGGTCTTGTGCGTTCGTGTGTATAAGAAGAATTCAAATAAGAAATTAAATGACTCACAGCCATAAATCAGGTCAATTATCCCTGATTTTTCAATCGACCAGCCTGTAATGTTGTTCATTCCAGTGCATTTATAAGCCCCTGCTTGATTTTCTTGGATATCAGGATTACGGAGAAGGGAAGTTAAGGTATCCTCTCCATCCAGCTGCTCTGAGATGTAAAAACCTTCAGATCCGTTGATGATTTGTTTGTTTTTTGGATTGGACCAAACTACACGAGGACGAGGCCATCCCTTGAAGGTACACTTCAGTTCCATTTGTTTTTTGTCAGAATAGAAGTCAACGGGAGAACTTGTCTTAGATACTCTCTTAACTGGAACTGAGAAGGAATTCTTCGTCTTAATTTCAAAGTTCATAAGTCATACACCCAGTCATTTAAACATTGTAGGGAGCTTAAGTGACCAGCTCGAAAGCCTAAGCTTCTTTGGCCACTGCGCACATTTCACCATTGATCAGGATTTATGTAATTTGCAGGTTTTCTTCCTCTTGTTTTTGTAATATATTTGTAATTTTTATGGCAACTTCTCGAATTAGTGGAAAAAATATCAAAATCTGAAATGTAAAAATCTGAACCACCACGACGACAACGTCAAAACACAATTGGTTTTAACTTGAAAACAACAGTTGCTGCACGTGCGTCAAGCTTCTTAGTACATTTCTTTGACGTTGACTCCTGGGGGGCACACTTGGGTATTTTTTGGGTGGGTATGTGCCGCCCGGGACTCCAAATTGGCACCCCGTTCTAAAAAAAAATTCCCCTAAAATTGATATCCCGTTCTAGAAATGGGCCAATTTTTTATACTTCGTTCTACGGTGCAACAAGAGTATAACAGTTTGCTTGTTAACGCATTGAACAGTATTTTTAAAAGCAATCTGTCTTTGAATAATTTCAAATCATTCAAGCAGCGGCTGCTTACAAAACTGGAGCTTTCGTGCGTTCAAAATATTATATCCCGTTCTAGAAAACGTCTCTGAAATGGATACCCATTTCTAAACCAGGGAGTTCAAAATCACGACCCCGTTGGCACATACCCGTATAGGTAATGTATGGGAGTACCCCGGGCGTTGACTGCAAGACTATGAATCAAGGAATACGACGTTTTATGGGGAAAGTGAGCATAAGACGACAAATTCTCCTTTTTTTCTTTTCTGAACCTGAATAAAGTTCTTAAGAATTCATCTTCAAGAGAAAACGTCTACATTTGACAAATTCTGCAAATTAAGCAGCTCCAAATAGACGCGATAACATTTTTGAAATGAGTCAAATTTAATTTTTAGCGACATTTCACTGCCGTCGTCGTCGTTGCTTAGCTCTGCGATTTTAAGATAACTAAAGTCAAACGGACCAACCATGTTTTACCCATGCCTTGTTCATTTTAAATAGGCCCTTTGCGGTAAGTCGCTTTGTTGCACTAACCTGCCATGCTGGAGCGAGACCCTACGCAGTGAGTCAAGCCAAACAAAAAGCTAACACATCATTTAAAAATGATTCCTTTGTTTATTGTTTGTCATGTCCTTTGCTTTGCTTGCCTTCCAGCATGGCGCATGAGTAACTGAGTTTTCGCGGTGAAGTATGTTCAAGTGAGGTGATTCAGCTGGCTATAACTTCAACCGTTTTTCGATCAATCCAACTGCAAAATTATGCCTCAGCTGAACCTGAATTGGCTAAAACCTGTTACCGAGGGCATTCGCCAATTCGTTAAATCCATTTAAAAAAAGAAGATACCAAAAGAACTGATGGGGGCATTGGACATTTTTTCTCCCCATCAATATAATACAGACAAGGCAAAAGAAGAACATACTCACTGGCGTATTTTATGAAAAACATTCACGTGGCTGACTTCGTTCCCCTTTGAATCACTAACAACAAGAACAGACCGGCGTCACCGCTGGCATTGAGATGTTTTCAGGTGCTGCCGGTGTATCTTTGTACTTTTCCCCATTCTTAATCGAGCAGTTTCAAAGTCACTTTAGAGTGTTGGGCGTTACTGTTATCGTCTTGAAAAGGCTGTTGACATTTCTGCACTATTTCACAGTCTGGTTCCCGTGGTTGACTGCATCTATCTGGTAAAAAGGAAAGAATAAAAAGGAACTTCTTTTTCTTATCAAATTCGCAATTAAGCTTTCTGAAAAAATGCACCTACCCTCTCCTAAGCCGTCATTTTGCCCCAAGAAGAAGTAATTTTAATGTTAGCTTAGGGGAGGGGTGGTGGGCAGTTTCCGTAGCCTAAATTGATCCAAACGTTGTTCATTAACTAACACAAACCTCTTCATGAACTCTTGACAAACCTACTATCCGAGTGGAAGTCACTATCCTGCATCTATTTAATGTGTTTTTTTGCTGGTTATTGTTCTTTGGTAGCAAAATTTTTGCTTTGGTTGTGACTGGCGCAAGAAAGTATGAGCCCATCACGCCGATGTTAAAGGAACTCCACTGGTTGCCGGTTGCTAAGCAACTGGAGGTTAGAGACATTTTAATGGCTTTCAAATGTATAAAGGGATTAGCCCCACCATCCTTGTGTAATAAGTTTTCGACAAGAGGCCAGGTGCATACCAGAAATACTAGGAATAAAGATAAACTTCATATACCATCTTTTAGATCAGCAACAGGTCAGCGATCTTTCTCATATAGGGCTGTTCAGCTATGGAATGACCTTCCTTCAGAAAGTTTAGCAACCATAGAGTCATTTAATGTTTTTAAGAATGCGATTAAAGGACGTGCACTTAACGAGTTTTTAAGCCATTGACAATCAATAGGTGTAATTTGCATATTTTATATTTTTAAATAATATGGTAAGTTTTATCACTTTCAAATGTTTATTTTAGATTTCTATTGTTCATATTAGATTTTATTGTAATTGGTAAGTGAAAACCCATTTTAATTGGATGTACCAAGAAAGTTGATTGATTGATTGATTGATTGATTAAGGGGCTTCTCAAAAGATAGCTTTGCAATGGCTGATTTGACACTCAGTCTTATCAGCAAATGATCAGAATAATTAATCCTACTGATGGTTGAAAATAAGCAATGATTATTATATTTAAAGTTAATATTTTAAATATTTAATTTAAAAAGGAATCAATAATTCAAGTAGCTTTTGGCAATAATGTAATACTTTGTTATAGTTTGTAGTTTTGTTTATAGTTTATAGTTTGTTGTTGTTGATCGAAACTATTTTCGTCATGATCAGTAATAAACATTAATGAATTATCTGGTTTCCTTAATTTCCGAGGCATCATACACGGATGTTGTTTTAGTCAAGGCAAGAATTCACGAAACAACAAGGAATTAGCTTCTGGATTGAAAACAAAATTATTTCCGCCTATGAACTCTCCACGGAAAAATCTTGAACCATCATATTCCTTTGATCACACATATTGTTGTGAATTTTTTGGCTTTCTCAAAAAGGCTCAGAATATCCCCAGCGGTGAGAATTACATAGGAGACTTGCATCTTGATTTGGTCTCATCGTCCAAGTTCAGACCCGGACCTAACTTCCCATGGGGTGTGAACAGGCCTTGTCTATTATTAGGTGGGTGTGTGATGCAAAGTGAGAGCGGTAGCGATTTCACTATTTCAGGTGAAGCTGCTCACCCGATATTGACCCTCCGAAATATCTGTGA